AGAGAGAGAGAGAGAGAGAGAGAGAGAGAGAGAGAGAGTTTATAAGCCAACAGGCTTATGCTACAGTATAAGCCCGTCGAACAACACAAATAGCTAGAGGGACTTTTTGGGTTGAAATTTTAGCACATAATTGATTCAATAAGACAATTTTAAAAAAGAAAAAACAATTGAATTCTTAAACACCTAGATCCACCATCCATAAAATGGGCAGTCTGTGTGTACTAAAAAAGGCAGCCTCATTTTGGGCCTTTTCTTTTGTGGAAACTCGATTGCCTTTTTTTTTAGCACTAGGATGAGATGATCATGAGTGCCAAATTTGGAGCTCAACAAGCGTCTCTAGCTCCAACAGGCTTATGCTACAGTAGAAGTCCATGTGCTTTTATAATCTTTTTCATATGTGTATGTGTATGTGTATGTAGAGGAAAAGATAAGGTCTGCCCGGGGGGCAGACCCCTGGGGACCCTTTGGACCCAAACTTTTGGGGACAAGTCCTGCTTGTCCCAGCATACAGACCCAAAATAAAATTTAATACTGTAGAAGTGCCTAAAAAAGACCTGGCCTGACAATGAACATCAAACCCACGTCTTAGAGAACTGAATTTTTGTGTGTGTGTGCGTGTGTGTATATGTGCGTATATGTGTGTGTGTGAGTGTAGGGTTTGGTTACGCTACTCCCTCATGATATATTTTTTTAATATATTCAACATTTTTGGACACTTAGATTCCCTTACTCCACAATATGGTAATATTTTCTCCTAGAGGTATTTAAGGCAATTAATTAGGGCAAACTAGATATGTTTTCCAAATATCTAATAAAATATCACTAGTTTTTTATAAAATTACCTATTCTACCCCTCCTAATGACAAAATATGCCCCTAGTGGAAAAGCTTTTACATTACAAAGAGATAAATTAAGTGTCCAATGAATGTTGAGTAGGTTACGTAAGTACTCGATGAGGGAGTAGCCTAACAAAACCAATGTCATATATATATATATATATATAAGAAAATGCTGAGGTTAGCCCACTAGCTCATATATGCATGAGCCCAACGGCCCAGATTGAATTTGGGCTGATTTGACAGTCACGACCTCATTTCGTATTCAAAAAAAACAAAGAGTGTGGCTTATCTTTAACCACATCCCGCTTCATGCCTAGTCCCCTGAAACCTTTCGGAGCCTCGTCGCTGAGTGTGGTCTCTCATCTCTATTCATTGGATATCTATCGAAACCCTCCCACTGGGCTCAATTTGAGTTCTCGTCGAACTGCTGGATCCCAGAACCCTTCCCAAAAGTTTTGTGGTTAAGGTAGGCGACCTCTACTACCCCATTTCGATCTCTTGGTCACAGGCTTCCCCCCCTTCCCCTCATTTTCTCTTCAATGAGGCTTCGGCTGCTCCCTCGGCTGCCCAACCACCCCCCTAGACCCTGGTTGCAAAGAAAGCTCGCCTGCGTAATAGGAGTCGTAGGCCCCCTGACTTGGTCGCGGATAAAGGTAGCCACCTCCTCCCTCAACCCCCCCACCTTCCGACCCCGCCTCCCCCCATCGACCCGAAGACACTGAAGCAGGCCCCCCTAGCCTCGTTTTCCCCTCTTTCCTACTCTTTCTGTCATCGACCCGGCAAGAAGACCCGGTGTGTCTCACCAACCAACTTGAGCTTTCCCTCAGACCCAGGCCCATCTTTTTCGAAATCCCCTCCCCCTTTGCTCTCCCTTCCTCTGCAACCGTCCTCCCTCCTCCCTCTCCCGGCGCACGCGTAGCACCTACCTGAGCCCCTCCCAGCTCTTTTATCACTTTCCGCTGTCCCTCTAGCCCACCGCCTTGTCTTGATGCCCCTCTGTTAGCGCCGTCTAACTCTACCGCCCTGTGCCACTTGTCACCATTTCCTGAACCCTTTGTCCTCCTCTCACCTACCCCACCCTCACCATTTCCTGAACCCTTTGTCCTCCTCTCACCTAACCCATCCTCATCCCTTCCTGATCCCTTCGTCCTCCTCTCACCTACCACACCCTCTCCTTCTAGTGATGTGGCCTCTACCAACACCCTTGACCTCCCCCCCTTTCGGGCCTTGGGCCTAGCTTTGTTCGACAAGGATGGCCTGGCAGATCTGCCCCTCTCTCATCGGCATGCTACGGACCCGGGTCTCCCCCTTGATCCCGAGCCTTTCCTTTCTACCGCCTTTTCGGCTACCCCTGTCGTTCACTCGTGCCCCTCTCCCCCGTGTGTACGTGCTTCACCCCCCTAGAGTCTTTTCTATTCCTCTTGACGCATCTTCCAAGGAATCTGCCACGTCGCCCCCAATCTCAGCAGGAGTCCCTTCCCCTCTACCGGTTGACATGTCGATGCCTTACTCTCCCCCCTGTCGGCTGATCAGCCTTTTGTCGCTCCCTCTCCCCTGGACCTTGAAGTTACTATCCCCACTGTCCTCTCGATTGTCCTTCTTCCAGCCTCCATTCTGCCGCTGAGAGCCGCCACCAATGGCCTCGAGCCTCTCACCACTGCCCCCTCTCCGCTCTGGAGCACCGCGTGGCTTCTTACGGATGCCGGCTGATCGACTTTACGCCTTCTTCCTTCCCTATACTCTGCTCCTTCCCCCCCTGGTTGCCTTTTTCGCCTGCCCGTGCTTGTCCCTCTTCCTCTTGTGCGTATCTCCCACCGTTCTCTGCCCCCCTCCTACCCTTGCAGCGGCCAAGTGCTCTTCCCCTCTTCCTCCCCTATACTCTCCCCCCTCGCCCAGGGACGTGGATGGGGGGGTCGACGGGACGGCCTCTCAACTCCAGCAGCTGATGTTACAACGCCCATCTCTCCCCCCTTGATGAGCCCAGCTCATGAGGGAGTCGACAGGGATGGGCCAAATCGAGACCTGGCAAGGATGAAAGAGATCTACCATGTGATGGGTTTCCAGCACGATAGCCCTGAAAGACTGGCGCATAGCTTCATGCTTGCCGATCCACAAAGCCGTATGGAGGTGGGTTTCAAAGGAAAGAGGGAGCTTCTGAACCTCTTTTCTTCCTTATCTGTCCAGGGCCCGTCCTCTGCCGAAGGATCCCTTCTCTCCCCTCTTCAATGCCCTCTGACGTTCTCCCAAAATAGCCTCTCTCATCTACTCTTCCTCGTCTCCATGAAGATTGTCTCTTGGAATATCAAAGGCCTGGGTCACCCTAAGAAAAAGAATGCCCTTAAGAACCTGTCCTCCAAACACTGCCCTCCCATTTTATCCATTACTGAAACAAAGTGTCATGAGCCCTCCCTACTTCAAGTCCGTCAGATTTGGGGCAGACAACCTTGCTAATGGGTAGCTCTACTCGCAGAAGGTGCATCGGGGGGCATCTGGGTTATTTGGGAACCCACTGATCACACCCTTGTTTCCTCACATGTTGTGGACTTCTCAGTCACCATTCTGCCGTCCAGAGTCTCTGATGGCCTGGAATGGAAATTCACGGCCATTTATGGCCCTTGCTCTTTAACTGATAGACCGCAGCTCTGGTCCGAATTGGACTACGTTGCGTCTCTCCCCCACCCTATTTAGTGCCTGGGTGGGGACTTT